CGTTTACGCACTTTTTCGCTGTTTTCAACGATAATTATAAACGCACCTAAAGCAACTAGTACATCCTCCTCAGCAGACATTTTGCGACTGAATGCGAACGAATGCCTAGGTGTAGACGGCAAGCCAAAATCGGCTTTGCCGCGTTGGCTTTGCCAACCCGGCATTGCCAACAGCCAACCGCGGCATAGTGTGGACGCCGCTTAATATTATTAATTTTTTTTCCAAAAAGAAAATAAAAATGAATCAGTTCGTCAATATAAAAAAATATTCATTACCAACAAGTACCTAAATGACAAAATAAAATTCAGCAAAAGTTTTAAAATTTTTCATCAGAATATTGTCTTCAAAAATTTTGTTAAATGACCGTATAAAATATCAGAAAACTTTCAAATTCAAGATGTAAATAATTTTCAAATTATATTTAGTTTTATGCCTTTTACATACCACATTGAGGGTATTTTACTTCTAGGGGTTGAACAAATTTGTCAAAGTCAACTGACAATAATTTTCTCGGTCAATCATGTGCGTAACCATAGAACCGTGTCTAGTGTTGTATATTTACTTATATCGGTAGCATTTTGTATCGAGTTCGGTCCGTTTTTGATATTTTGCTTTTTCCACTTGCATTTAAATTTGTATCTCTGATCTGCTTTTATTGCAAATCCTAGAGACAAGAGATCCTAATAAGCATATTTGTTGCTGTAAAGGTTTTTATTTAATATGCATTCTGTAACGCTTTTACCCATCACGCCCATTTCCTTGATATTTTAATAAAGGACATATATTTACATGTATTGTGAATAAAAATGTCGATAATGAAAATCCAGATGTTGTTGAAAAGCTTAATGATACAATTGTAACAGTAAAGCCGTTTAGAAGGGGGACCCAATTTGTCGACAGTGACCGTCTGAGCCAAATAAATAATATTTATTATTACAAATGTGTCAAGCATCGTTTGAAAAGAAAGTAAAGTATGACGTTTTCATTTGTTTGAATAAAATATATGGAGCAGTTATTGAATGCATACAATCTGCACTAGGGAAATGCAACCAAGTGACAACATTATAGGTGTTCCTATCCAAATATATAGAAAAACATGGGGTGTACCTGTAGCTTCTACAAGCAAACCATGTAAGTGGGAAAAAGGTTCAAGTATAAGAGATCCAGCACCAGTTGCCACTCACATTTATCCAATAAAAAGGTTTAAACTCGCAATGTTCAATCCTCTTCCGGGAGACTATATACGAAATATTAATTTAAATAATTTATTAGTTGATATTCAACATGGAAACAAAGAGACAATGTTTGAAACATTATTTTTAATTAAATATAATGAGTTTCAGTTTAGTGTTATAGTAATAAGTAAGCAGACAAAAATATACTTTTGAATAATGTTAAAAACGTTTATAACTGCTTATACTACCGGTTTGTTTCAAATACCAGGTTCATTTCCTCAAGGTTGTAATAAGTGAATTTACTGGAGAACATATTTTATGACATCATCCAATATACGTCTTGTTTGTGGGTTAACTAATAAAAATGAAAAAAAAAAAAAGATTTTTTTGTTAAAAGATGTATGGCTGCAAACAAAATCAATAACAACTGCAGCAATGCAATATGAAAAACTAACGAATCTGTTGCAAGAAACAAATATGCAACATTTCCTTTCTTGGCAACTAGTATATATGGTTTGGTCAGAAATGGTAATGGAACAATTGACCACATTTTTGAAATTAAGTGTCCAACAGTATTAGCAAAGTGTAAATGTATTAACAACTTATTCCTCAATCTAAAAGTAATAAAAAATATTTAAAAAAAAATCACCCATATCTATAACAAATCTGTGGCCGGCGCTTAAAAGGTCATAAGTCGTTTTTTACGTAAATGGAGTTTTTAGTCAAGATACGTTTAGAAGAGTGTATACAAGGTGACCCAGAGTAGATTTCCCTTTTTAATCGTACCGTATTAAGTTGTAAACAGCGTTGGAGGGGCAGGACGTATGACATCAAGTAGACAAGACGTGCGGATTTGCAGTTTCATCCGTACAAAATACAGATTGTACAGTACCTAAAACCCACAGACTTTCCCAGAAGAAAAAGGTTCTGTGAAACAATGATGAATTTCTTTTGGAATGATGGTGGCTTGGAGAAGATAATCTTTAGTGATGAAGCTCATTTTCACTTAGATGGTTACGTCAACAAACAAAATTGCAGATATTGGTCCCCTGATAACCCACACGAAATGCATGCAAAACAGCTTCATACCAAAAAAGTGACAGTGTGGTGTGCGATGTCGGCAAATGGGATAATTGGTCCCTATTTTTTTGAAGATGGTCGCGGTCATGCTCTAACTGTGAACAGTGCACGTTACTCTGGAATGGTACGCACTTTTTTTGCAGCAGCTCTTCAAAACTTTCCAGATTATGATGATACGACTTTTTTCCAACAAGATGGTGCGACAGCACATACGGCAAACGTGTCCGTAAATGCTGTAAATGAATTATTCCCAGGGCGTCCCATCTCCTTAAATGGCGACATTGAATGGCCTCCACGATCGCCTGACCTCACGCCTCTAGATTTCTTTTTGTGGGGGTACTTGAAAGGCCGCGTCTACGTTGATCCCCCTGCTACCATCGCTCAGCTGAAACAACGGATTCGCGATGAAATCAACAATATCCCAATTGATTTATGTCAACGTTTATTCCAACACTTACGCAGCTGTTTGGAAGAGTGCTATGAGCAAGACGGCCATCATATGGACAACATTTTTTTTTTAAATAAATCCGCATTTGTACGCTTTTATGTTTTGCTAATAAATTGTTTCTGACTTTACAGCTTTGTCTTTTATAACTGTTTGAAAAGGGAAATCTACTCTGGGTCACCCTGTATTTTAGGCAGCTAAAAGGATTCAAGTCTATATACGTTGTAAAGTAATAAAAATAAGGTACAAAAAAACATATATAATATTACAAGGTTAACCGCGGAAGACAAAACGTCATAATTAAACATAAACAGTGAAATTTTGTATCATAAAACAGTTAAAACAAAGTATGTCTACCTATTTTTTAATTTTTACAGGACCAAATCTCCTAAAAAGATCGTCGATTTGGATTTAAAAAATGTTTATTGATGTGTTCCAAAATTTTCCAGCGCCATTCTTCAAAAATGTGTAATATCGACTTATTACCTTTTAAGCGCCGACCACAGAAATGTTAGTTTCATTATTAAAATTTGATGTAGGATCTTGCAATTTATTATTTTGGAATCCTAGTGAGAAGATTATAGTACCAATTTAAAAAAAAAACTGATTTAAATGATATTGAAATTATAAAAACTAAAAGTAAAGATTTTTGTGAGAACGTTTTTATATCAGAAATGTTTGCAATGAGGATTGTACGTAGGTTAGATTCAATTAATCTCTAAACTTTAAAGTGTCTGTGTATTAATTTTTAGCTATATTAAGACGATATTTCACATTTTTTTTCTTAATTGTACTCAGTATATTGTATGTGTGGTGCTCGTATCTCGTTTGGCGAGCGCATAAAGAACTTTCGAATGATTTTTATGACATTTCAGTTGCTCTTTCATGTTTGACGTTTTGTATCATTATTTTTATTTTTTGGTTATATGTAATGTTTTTAGAGTGATGATAATATTGTGTTGCAGAATTAAAAAATGTTAATGATATTAAGCATGCTTTTGGTTGCAACTTTGGCAATTAATCTACTTCCGTGCACGGAAAATGTAAATCAACAATTTCCGGCAAGAGCCAGAAATATTATAGAGAAGCATACACCACCTGGATAAACTTTATTGAATCTAGTACTTCAAGTAACACTGGGAAGAAATCCACATCGATGGCTAGCATCCTTTACTCGTAACGACCTCTACGAATATTGATGTGCGTATCTTACAAATGTCAAGAAAAATTTTAAACTAACCTGTCACGCAGGTTCCGAAATTAGAACAGTTTCTGTCCAGATTTAACACAACCAGATATGTAGCGTCGTGGAGATATTAGTGAATTGCTACTGAGAAAATATTCCAAGAGGTAGAAGACGCTGGGTCAGAGAACACTTATTGTGTTAATGTAAGTAATTCAAATTTTTATATGATTTTTTTATACAAGGCAACTTTTTTTTAATATAAATACAAAGAAAATGAATAGTCTTAAGTTACAATGTATCGAACCGGTCTTACAACTTACAACAAGTCGTATAACAAAGGTCTCTTCATGGGCAATGAATTCTGAGTCAAAAATAATAGCTATATTGACCATAGAAAAGTATTCAATTGATTAGTGCGACCTTTTAAAATGTAGCCAGAATTTAAAATTTGTGTATCGGCAATTAATGAAACACTTTTGTTGGTATAGTTATTGTTTCTTTAGTTTCATTTAGTTTTTAATCAGTTTGTGTCGAACATTTATTCTACTTTTTTATTATAAATGTATTTCCAAAAATAAAATTAATGCAACATATAATGTTGGACGTCACGAACTAACTTAAATAATTTTATACCTGCCAGAGACCAACCCAAACATTAATATATTTTCAAAAATAAAATTAATGTAACACATATATTATTGGACGTCATGAACTAATTTAAATAATTTTGAGGTCGAGACTATCTCTGATTATCTACCTGTGGAAAACAATAATTAAGGTATACAATTTGTTTTCAATATGCTAAGTAAGCTATTTATACTGAATATTTAAGTAGTGTGATAATTTGACAAAAACAGAAAAGTGACATGAAAATAATTTAAAAAATTTGTTATTTTTATGCTATTTTTTTTTATCGGGACGGTGCTTTTAAAGTTAGTTTGTATCTTGATTGTGGGATGAGAGATGCATTCTTTCTTATTGACCTAATATAAAAGGGATGAAAGCAAAAACTTATTGGCCGATAAAAAAGCTGTTTGAATAGAGGGATACATTTTGAATTCATTTAAAAGATATGCTTTAACTTTAAACTTTATTCATACTGTATTATTTTAAAATGAAGGCAAACATTCTACAAAATATAACGCTGCCAAACGAAGATTCCGATATTGAAGTAACAAATGGCAGTTTCAGTAAAGTATTACCTATAGGTACAATAAGATGTATTATTATATCGGAAAATAATACATCCGATGTAAAGCCATCAACATCAGGCGTTTTAAGGTCTACACACTCTTGTAACTCAACACCAGCATCAAGAGGCAATAATATAAAAGTTCTTAAACAGGAGGTATTTAGTCATATACCATCATCAGATGAAGAAGAAGAAGACATTCGCGAAGTATCTACACTTAAAGAAACCTTCCGTGAAGAGCGGGATTTAATAGTAGAAAAAACCACGAGGGAATATTTAACAAAACTTCATACATTTATCAGTGAGTCTAAACTAATTGTTCAAAAAACAAATTTTGAATTTACAAAAATATCAAAGTAAAATATCTAAAGTTTCTCTAGCAATTTCTTCTTTAGATGATATAATTTCTAGCATCAAACGTAAATTTAATTATTGAATACATCTTCAAGAATAAGGATTTACTCAAAGGTTGAGAGACGATATGATGAATCTCTAGACCTTAATATATTCGTTTCAATTATGGAATCCAGCCTTTTAGTTAAATGAAGAATTGAATATCTCGATTTATTTACAAAATATCGACGAGAAGGAAGAGACATTCATTTTTTAGATGAAACCTGGTTCGAGACTCATGACATCACAAAAAATGTTGGACTGATGGAAGTTTAAAATTTAATGTAGACACTCCTCCATCTCGAATATGTATCTTACATTGTGGTGGAGAATCAGGTTGAGCAGGAGCTCTTTTGCTGTCTGCAAAGGATGTACGGGATAGTAGTTTGGACTACCACCAAGACATAGAAAGTACTTTTTGAAAAATGGTTTGAGAGTACATCACTACCAAAACTAAATGAAAATAGCGTAATAGTTTTAGATCCCCGTACCATTCTCGGATGGTACGAAAAATACCAAATACCAATTCTATGAAATCAGTGATTCAGGATTTTCTGATGAAGAATGATATATTTTTTGAAGAAAAAAAAAAACTACACAAAAAAAGTTTTACACTTTGTTGATTTCAAACCTATATGTTATCGACACCATAGCAATAAAACACGGATTTAAAGTTTTATGTCTACCACCCTACCACTGTATTTTGAACCCCATAAAATTATTATGGTCACAGTTAAAAAATTATGCACCTGTCCACGTCTTCTATAATTGATGTAGTAAAAAATTCATTTAATTGTATAACTGTTGAAAACTGGAAAAATGCTATTCAACATGTTAAAAAAATCGAAGCTGACGATGATAGTGATATTATTTCATAACATGAAATTAGTGACTGTAAAAGTGATTTAGAAATATAGACGTTTTTAAATTTATTTACTTACATTTTCACTAAATAAATCTCTACTAATTAATACATATTCTTCTTAAATTAATTACTTAATAATTTTAGTCTGTTTCAATTTTTTAGTTGAACATGTGTTTGGTAATAAAACTTTTATTTTTTTTTTATTTTTCTACTAGTTCTCAGCGTATTATATTTTTTTCAATGCAATTTAGACCGCAAAAGGATTTTTGTAGAAATCAAATTTTAAAAATTATTTTCAACATTTAAACAAATAACACACCTACCTGATCAGCATGTTGGTGCACATTTTAAGAGGTTGCAAAACCATTGCACTTTCTAGATTATATTGCAATGGACTATACCTGTGGAAGTGCAAAGAGTGCGAGTTTTTGAACTCACAGATGTCAGTTAAAATAAAAATGGGTGATAGAGATCGTCCAGAGACCATTGTTAATGTGCCTCACAATGAGATTCTAGACAATGGTGCGATTGAAGACGAACTAGTGTCGATTGTAGACATATGCTTTGGAAGTGTTTTTGAATATATGACTTGGTTAGCAAGAAGAAGTTTGCTTCGTAACGATGCATTTTGCTAGGGCTGTCAAATACCCATGTCCCTCATACAAAAAGCAAACTCCACAGACGGGTACCTGTGGAAGTGCAAAGAGTGCGAGTTTTTGAACTCACCGATTCATTTATTTTAATTTTTATTAGTTAATATAAAAATGGGTGGTAGAGGTCGCCCAGCGCCTATTTTTTTTGTGCCTCACAATAAAATTGTAGTCAATGGTGTGACTGAAGACTAACTAGTGTCGATTATAGACATATGCTTTTAAAGTGTTTTTGAATGTATAACCTGGTTAGCAATAATAAGTTTGCTTTGTAACAATGCATTTTGCCAGGGCTGTCAAATACCCATGTCCCTTATAAAAAAAACAAATTCCATAGACGGTTACCCTTGGAAGTGCAAAGAGTGCGAGTTGAAACAATCAATAAGAAAGGATTACTTTTTTTCCAGAAGTCACTTTCCCCTTTTTAAACAAGTATTCATTATTTATGAACAGTCTAGAGCAGCGTTACTCAAAGTGTAGTCCTTGGAGCCCTGGGGATCCGCAAAGCCTTTGTGGGGGCTCCGCGAAGAAAATAACAAAAAAAGCAGTACCTATCGCTACAACGTGACTTGGCTTTAGGACCTTTTAATTTTTTTGGTTTGTTCTTTAGGAGTATATGAGTTTGGTATTTTGGGTTGGAGGACCTTTTTTTAGAAGTCAGGAAGAGGAAGACATATGATTTTGAGAATTTTGTTGTAGGAACTCCGCAAAGAAACGGGAGGGACCTGACAAAAGGCTAGAGCAAGTAGGACTTTTTTTTCCGAAATGTGTTTAGGGCTCCGTCAAATATTTCACTTTTCAAAAAGGTTCTGTCGCTAAAAAAGTTTGAGAACCACTCTGCCGTGCAAAGGTAAACCCTAGTAACACACTTTCTAGAAATTTTCAGGAGAGTGAATAATAATTTAAGGCATCGCTATAAGAATAACGAAATAAATAATTTTGTTTTTAATAACCTATAAAGGGTTTTTAAACACGTTTTTTTTTATTTTAAGTTATTTTTCTCATACAGTATTTTTAAAAATATAGGACTTACTACTTTTTTTCTGAAAGAATTATCAGTTTTAACTATGGAAAAAAATATTATGCCAGGTTACTATTTATATATTATTAAAAAATAGGAACTTTACAGAGGAAAAACCTGGTAACGTATTTCACTAGGTTTTCCTGTACGAACAAATTATCAATAATAATTTTTTTACTATCCTTATGCTGTTTTAAAATGTTTTTCCAATTTAAATTCATTTACTTCTGCACAATTTGGCGGGAAGAAATGACCGTTGGATTCCGTTGCTAGGTTTTTCCATTTGAATAATTGTTTTAAACAGTTGCATTAAATCTGCTTGACGAGTAACATCGCGTGGGTGATATAGTGTGTTTAAATTTGATTTAGTGGTATTTTTATTGGTGAATAAAACAAAAACAATTTTTTTAAACAATCTGGTTAACAATAACAATAAGAACATGTCTTCCAGAGGAAAGCTATTAGTGGCCCTAGCCCAAAATGATGATACCAACGTTAAGGAAACAGTCAACGATCCAGAAAGGCCGTAAGTTTTCATTTAGTGTTATTTTAAATTTACGTAAAACTGTGTCAGTATAGAAGAATTAGTAATTATTAGAAAAAAATTATTTACTCACGTAACAAAAATACATACATTGTAATATTTGCCTGTGTAATACGTACCTATGTAGTATATACCTATGTAGTATGTCTTTTATAGTTGGTTACAGGGTGTCAAAATTTAATTAAACATCCTGTTTCTGTGTATTATTTCTGAAATAAGTGTATGCATCTATATGAAATTTTATAGGCTCGACAAAATTTTGATGCCCTATAGCATAAGCTACCAATCATTAGCCCAAAAGTCAGGGATGCGTAAATTTTAGGGACTGTTAGAAAATATTGACCCACTTTTAGGCCCTACATAATATTTTCAGCGTTTTGAGCCATAAAATTTGAAAGTTTAATGCTTTTTACGCAAAATAAATTATCTTGATTTAATTCGACGTAATCAACCGTTTCGGAAATACATTCATAATAAAATGTGTAATCAGATTTATCTTTTGTACATTTTACAATATAACACATCTCAAACCTTATTTTTAGGGTAGAAAATCATCAAAAAATATCTTCTAAAGGGTTTTCCAATAAGAGGTGTTATTTTGAATAGCCCGCTATTTCGGTAGATGTCACTTTTGGAGCTGTCATGTTTTGACATTTGACAAGTAGAAACTACGCCATTAATAAAAATGGAACGATACACGCTTCAACAACGCATTGAAATTATTAAAATTCACTATAAAAATGGTGAAAATTTGGCGGAGACGGTTCGTAAAACTCGAACATTTTTGGGTCGTCGTGAAGCACCTTGTCGGACCGCAATACAGAAATTGGTGGAAAAATTCGAGCTGTTGGGACAAGTTAGTGATGTGAAGAATAAAACCCGTGCACGTCGCTCAAGAACAGCCGATAATATTGCTGCTGTAGCCGAAAGTGTTGAAGAAAACCCAGGTTTGTCCATTCCTCGTCGTTCTTTGGAATTACGCATTCCAAAAACGTCATTACACCGTATTTTGCATAAAGATTTGGGTCTTAAGGCCTATAAAGTTCAGTTAAAACAAGAACTCAAGCCGGCCGATCATCAACAACGTCGTGTATTTGCCGATTGGGTCCTTGAAATGCATGAAAATGATCCGGAATTCCATCGAAAAATCATCTTGAGTGATGAGGCCCATTTTCACCTCGGTGGCTTCGTCAACAAGCAAAATTGTCGCATCTGGGGCTCGGAAAACCCAAGAGTTATTGTTGAAAAGCCTCTTTATCCTCAACGTGTGACTGTTTGGTGCGGTTTATGGTCCGACGGGGTCATTGGACCTTACTTTTTCGAAAATGAGGCTGGAGCACCAGTTACGGTGAATGGATTGCGCTATCGAGAGATGATTAATGATTTTTTATGGCCGGAATTGGATGGTATTGATCTGGACAACGTTTACTTTCAACAAGACGGCGCTACGTGCCACACAAGCAACGAAACCATTGATCTTTTACGGAAAAAGTTTCCGGACCGTGTTATCTCTCGGAGAGGTGATCACAATTGGCCACCGAGATCTTGTGATTTGACACCTTGCAACTTCTTCCTTTGGGGCCACGTGAAAGAGAAGGTCTACGCCAACAGCCCAGCGTCGATTCAAGACCTCAAAGATGGAATTCGTGAGGCTATCGAGGACATAGGGCAGCCACTTTGCGATTTGGTTATGGAAAATTTCATGAAAAGGATATGGTCCTGCAGGCGTGGTCGTGGTGGTCATTTGGCTGATGTTATTTTCCATTATTAACGGCATACCTTCCTCTTTATAATGAAATAAACATCCGATCATTTATCTCAAAAAATGACATTTTCCTTTGAATATCAAAATAACACCTCTTATTGGAAAACCCTATATCTGAAAGTCACTTGATAGAAAAGGGTATCGAACCTGATAATATTGAAGTAAAAAATACATTTGATTTAATGGAAACTGAGCATTCAGATCATGACAAAATTTTCACAGTTACAACCACTTGTTGAACGTAAGTAGTTTCTTTGTGAAATTTAAAATGTATGTACCTATTTAACAAAACTATTATTTATAATTTTAGCCACTTAACCCTTAAATTTTATCAGCTACTTTTATTATTTTTTTAGAAGAACGTCGAATTGACAGTCCTTTTGATGACTCAGATGTTGACCCAGATTACAACCCTGCAGAAAACAGCAGAAAATCTGTAAAACAAAAGAAAACATTTTTTGAACCCACTTCTACTCTTAGTTCAGGTAAAACATATACCTACCTACACGTTTTATTATATAATGTCTGTAATATCACTTATTTGTAACGAGTTATAATATAATAATAGCCATTTTCTTTTTAGGTACAGATACCGATGTTGACGACATAAGAGTTAATAACGAAGTTGATCCAGATGAATGTGGAAATGAAAGAAATAATATTGAAAATGAAAAAATTGATCTAAAAAAGAAAAAGAAAAGTAAACGGGCGAGAACAGAAGAAGAAAAAACTGAAAGAAATTTAATTAAATATAAACTACTTCCAGTATGCAACTGCAAAAGAAAATGCTTCGAATATTTCAAGATTGAACGAAGGCAAGAAACTTGTGAAAGCTTCTGGAAAATGAATTTTGGGGAAAGAAGGCAGTACTTAAATGTGAAACGAAACGATATTAAATATAGAAAGGTGGGAAGCAACAACAACAGGCAATGCTCTCTTACTTACTGTATGACACAAGAAGACGGTGTCGAGAGGGCGGTATGTAAAATTATGTTCCTACATACTCACGGGTTAAAGACAGATGGTATGATTACCGAATTAAAGCGACAACAAAATATATCCCAAGGTTTAAGTGTTACCACTGATTACAGGGGAAGATCAACCCCATCCAACAAAAAAGATCCTGCCACTATTAAAGAACATATTAATTCATACCAACCACAAGTTTCGCATTATAACCTCTCACATGCTCCGAACCGAAGGTATCTACCATCGGACTTAAATGTAACCAAAATGTGGAAAGATTTCTGCGAAAAATATGAAACTGTTTCATATGAAACATACAGACATGAATTTAATCTCGAGAATATTGGTTTTGATCAACCTAATCAGGATGACTGCGATACTTGTGTTTTATGGAAAGAACACGAAAACGATTGTAATAAAATTGATGAAGTAGTGGCTTGCTCTATTTGCACAACCTATGATATTCATCACGAATTATACACTGTAGCAAGATTTGCATATCAAGCTGATCGTAATGAAAAATTTGATCAATCTTATAAACTATTTTCTGTAGATATGCAAAAAATATTGTTACTGCCAAAAATATCCTTGAAGTCTTCTGTTTTTATTAGCAGATTGGTCGTTTTTAATGAAACCTTTGCTGCTTTAAACAAGCCATTTGAGAATGTCTGTGTATTGTGGCACGAGGCTATTACTGGCCGAAATGCTGAAGATGTAGCTTCTAGCTAGCTACTGCGCAGTCATAAAGCGAGCATCTGCTGACATTAAGCATTACGTATTTTGGTGCGATAATTGTAGCGCGCAAAATAAAAACTGGAAATTGTACGCAGCACTAACATGCATTGTTAATGCCGAATGGGGCCCAACATCAATAACACTAAAGTATTTCGAAGCTGGTCATACATTCATGAAGGCCGACACAGTACATGGGCAGATCGGTAAAGTATGGAAGAAAACGAACAATATTTATGATATTCATGATTTAAATGAGTTGATACTTAAAACTTCTCGACAAAATAAAACTTTGTTACTGAATTGCGAGGATTTTTATCAGTTTAAAGAGGGCTGCCGATAAAGAAAACGCCAAAAAAATGAGGACCATTTTACAAAACTAAGCGATTTAAAAGTAACTTAGAAAATTATGTTCTATAAAAAAAGACACACTGAGAGTGAGTTTTTGTCTTTTGATTTTATAAGGCCGAAATTTGATTTATCGATGCCAGAAACTAGGGTCAGTGATAGGGGTATCAATGATAGAAAAAAGCAGAAAATAGTGACTGATTTGGTGACAAAAATGCCAGCGGTAAAGCGCATTTTTTGGGAAAATTTGCCTACATCAGTGGAATCATCGGATCTTCTTTCTAATCAAAATTAACAGGGGCATCTTTATAATTAAGATAAGAAAATTGCATATTATGCAGATATAGTATGTGTATGTACAACAAACAGTAGTTACCAATGAATCACGACCATGTATAGATTTTATAAAATGTATTGTGAATTTGATGTTTTGTTATCTAACTTTTAATAAAATGCGCTATTAAAACTGTAAGTTGCTTTTTTTGCAATAATATTGTTTATAACAAATGAAAAAAACTTCCGAAACTCCTATTCATAAGTAAATAGACTTAATATGTTTTACCAATTCCAGGGAGCATCTCTTTTTTGTCAATTTAAAATGGAAGAGCTTAGCAAGTTGACACACTAATATCAAACTATAATTTAATTGCAATACAAAAACATGGAAAACCCTAGTAAGGTGGCATGCTAGAATTTTCCACTGTAATTTATTATAGTTTGTTTTATTTATACAATAGTAAAACAAATGTGCTAGTTTTTTCCGTTTTAAACAGAACTTGCTACATTTTTCCCTTGAAACGGGACAAATTTTTGAACTTACTAGGAAATTCCAATGGTTGTAAAATATTTATTTGTTGGATTTCAAACGCAAGCTAATTATTAGCACAAAGGAAAAATGTGGTAGATTCTGATTATGCTGAAACCTAATTTTGACCGTAAGTGACTTACTAGGTTTTACCTTTGCACGGCAGCACTGGTCTAGAGTTTATTATCTAAAAGATATTGCACACGAGACAAAATTAGGAGACAATTGGTGCTTTTTTTGAAAGGTACTTAACAGACCATCCTGCAGTGATTGGAGGCATCAATGAAGACAGGACTTCCAAAATAGTCGAAATTGACGAATCCAAATTCTTCCGTAGGAAGTAACACACAGGCCAGTGGAGAAAGGGGCATTGGGTATTTGGTGAAATTGAAAGGAGTACCAATAAATATTTCCTCGGTAAGAAAATTATTACCTCAAATATGATCAAATTATTCAGAAGAATAAATAAATTTAAATCAGTTATACATAAAAACGGTTTAATAAATTATACTGACTAAAATTATTAAGTTTGAGTAGAGGAAATATAAAGGTTAACAAAATTCCAAGGCGTACTGTACCATTGGAAACAGTCCACTCATGTTACAAGAATTGTATTTGAATATTGTGTAAACGTACAACCAAATAGACCAGTCAGGAAAAACTAAATTTAAAATCAGTTTAACTAATATTTCGAGCCTGATGATGAATATTATTGTCAAAACTAACTGTTAACATTGTATTAAAATTTTATGTAGGACTTATTTCGAGTTTTATTTATAATTTTAAATGCTTTTTAGTTGAAGTGGAGAACAGGCGGATGGAAACTCTGGAGGAAATTATTCAAACATAAGTGTTCAAATTACATTACACTCTCTCAACAACATAACACATTATTCAAATACATGCACACATAATCTCACTAGAAAGTAGAAAGCGAATATAAAATTGAGACAGACAATGAATACACCTCTTCAGAAATAGAAGAAACGCGTTTAAGACGCGTTTACCATTTTTCTCGCGACCGCTTTAATCCCGCTACACAGAGCAACTGCCCACTATCATATTGGCACGTATATTGTCGTTTACCAAAAAAGTAATCGAATTAGTAAAAAAAATACTCTCACTTCCTGGAACGGATTAAGGAATTGACTACATGTCGACGTGTTTCCAAGGAAAGACTCCTTAAAGCCGCTTCAGAATTATCAACCAAGGATGCCTTACTTTGGTACAGAATTAATCAATTCAGAACTTGGGACGAGTAAACTGAGAGATTGCGGAAATATTTCCAGCCACATGACTATAAAGAGTCACTATCGGTGATAATCAGGACGTTGTCTGAACAGTCATTATTAATTATGGACGGATTACGAGCTCACGGTGTATGCGATAATGATGATTTTTTTAGCCAATATCTAGTTTCGAGAAACAATTAGAGTTATATCTTCTGGCAGGAACCTAGACCAATGAAGGTGCACCATCTGTCACATATATGGCATGTTTAGGTAAATTTCTGACGATCCATAGAAACTATGTAGAACTTGTACCTGATTCCTCTATTAATGCTTCTACTCTAGCTGAGATGATGGCCTCATAAATGGATTTGGTAGAATAGATGGGATAATAGCTAGACGTACAACATTAGTAAATGCTACTCGTGCACTATTAAGAGCTACTCCGGGATCACTGGGACTCTCAACAATGAGTAATTTGGCTGAATTAAACACCATTCTAGTGGGCCTAAAAGACGCAGATGGAGCACCAATTAATCCCGCAAGACTCCAAGGAAGTTAAAAGTCCTCGATGAGGTTGACGTAAGACATATGGCTAGAGGATTCGGCAATATGCATTTGACTGCAATCAATATAACACTTGATTCTGCTCGAAACTTTGATTTGACATCAATACAAGCGATGAGCAGTCTTTATTATTACGCAATTAGTGGCACACAACTAGGAGTTCTAGGAGGACTAACAGCATTAGTCAACTCAATCTGTAGTATCTACTTATTTCATAGAGAAATTCCGAGATGGTGTTCAACAAGCACTTGGTAAGCAAGTTGATTTGTATCCGAATGCTATGAAAAATCTATACACTCATTACGGCCAAGATATCAATGAAACCAAGTATTTACAGTATGGGATACAAGATTACCATTTAGTGTTCTACGATTATGGCTAGTTGTTAACCGAACCTGTAACTGTCATTTAGATTTACTATGTGGACCTATAATGTAATTTTTGGTATAATCGGTTTATTACAAGAATGGATGTTCATAAAAAGTCAATTATATTTATTTGGTCGGTCCAATATGGGTAAATCTACTTTTATAATTAGAGATTTACTTATCAAACATTTGGTTAGACGTATATTTTATCCTAGTGGGAGGGGAATTTTTATTTAGAAGGGATTAATCCTACTTTTCACAAAATTATGTTGTTTTAAGAATTTAACATTAAAAATTATAATATAGCAATATTAAAAACTTTACGCTACGGTTGTTCGTCGTAAACATAAAGTAAAACCATTCGTTGGAAATATCCGATTATAATGGTTTCCAATTATGTTTTAGACGAAAACTTAGTAGAAGAGGCCTTTTAAACAGATTGCTCAGAATAGAGGCTGATTGTGTTTATTATAACGAAAATTTTGTTAATTTTACCAATACATTTGAAACTATAAGTAACCAAAATATTCCTCTTCAAGTTCAAGTAAAGAAGACAGAAATGCAGATATCTAAACAAACCAAATGCGGTACAGATATCAAAAACGACAGCAGACGTATAAATGATGCAATGTTACACTCGCCCCCTTAGCAAGTTCTACCTGTGTAAAAGAAATATGATAAGTACTGATGCTGGAACATTTTTACTGTGTCCTGAATGTTTTCAAATAGGTAGTTTTCTTAGTATTAAATGTTAACAAAGCAAACAGATAAGTTTAATGTCGGCAATGTTTGAAACACACACACAAAGATCTTAAACAATTTAGTAAAATGCGAAGTTACAGATTTCTGAAACACGTGAGGTCTTCTTCATTCTGTAAAAAAAATATTTAAGTGCGATGATTAAACAATTGGGAAAACCGACAATATTCTTGACACTTTCTGCTGCCGAAACTTAGTGGTTAGAATTAATAAAAACATGAATTAAATTTAGATGCTTATGAAAAAAGTGTACTAATTCGAAATGACCATGTACCTTGTCCACGCTATTTCGACTACAAAGCAAACAAATTTATTATTATTATTGAAATAAAACGCTACATTGTTTAAAACAATTTGGTGGAAAATAGTTACGATAGAGTGGAATTTAAAATGAGAGGATCACCTCACGAATACATTTGTGGCTCAAAAATGCACAAAAGTATAATCTCTCAAACCCAGGTAGTGTTACGAAGTTACTTTTATTAAATTATTTGAGAAACATATAATCCGTCGGAAAACCGAATCGAATATTTTTATTTAATATTTACTAGTTATCATTTAACCATAACGTCAAAAATTCAAATTTTCAAACGAATTCTATGTTTTAACCATCCAAGCATCCATCAATATTTTTTATCAGTAAGCGGTTAAGAATACTGTAGCTATGACAACGCTCCCACTCCTACTATTCAATCACGTTTGCGCATCAACGCATTAAAAATCTATAAATAAGACATGCACAGCTGACAGTGGCATATCTAGGGGCGGGGCCTATGCGAAAGAGACGCTCAGCTCCGAATTGATATAAATAGGAAAGAGAGACTGGCACGACACACAAAAAAAATTATAGTTGAGATCGAGCAGCGAGACTGAACAGTCACCTGGGAGATTATCGTTACGGGCAGTTGGATACGAGAGTAGGCAGGTTGAGGCTCGTAAACCAGCAGCTTAAGGCATTGTTTTTAGTGTTGGTGATGGTATTTTATACCGGAACTGCCTAACCACTTTGCAAGTCGCGATCGCGTTTCAATTCGGAACATAGATAATACAAGTGCGGATGTTTTATTTTTAAAATTATGTGCAGTGTATAAACAAAGTGAGATAGGGAAAGTAAGTGAGTTTAAAAATAAATTCAACTCGGAGATAGACACTATGTGCGTCCAAAATTAATATCGAAGTGATAGAAAGTGACAAAAAATAAGAAAGTGGCAAAAATAATATTAAGTGACCAACAAACGACGGATTAAAGGATTATTCAACAAGGTACGGGTAAGTCTTTTATAAATATTATACTGAGAACTTATTTTGCGCCCTGTGGGAGGTCACAATGGGAAATTCTGACTATGAATCTTCAAGCGAAGAGGATCAACCGGTGGTTGACGTCCACGAAGAAAACAAATTATTGAAAAAGCTCATCCAAAAAAGGATGGTACAGGAAAAATTACAGGCGGACACAATAGCAAGGCTAATGGAAGCCAACAAAGAATTAAAGGAGCAAAACAAAAACATTCTAAGAATGCTGGAGGATATTAGAATGGAAATGAAGACCAAGCGCGAAGCCGACGCGAAAAAGGAAGAAGGAATCCGACAGAAGAAGAGAAGCAGATAAGAAAAGGGAAGTAGAAAAGAAAAAAAGAGAAGAAGAAAAGAAAAAAGAGGAAACAAAGAAAACCAAATCAGAGGAAAAAGAAGAAGAAAAGAAAAAGGCCGAAGAAGAGAAGAAGAAAAAAGAAGATAAAATTAAAAAGAACAAGGAGGACGCAAAGCGGATTACCCAATCTGTCAAGCCAGTCCTCCTAAAGAAGACTAACTCTGGGGCCAGCTCGAGCAGCTCGGCACCCACAGAAGAAAACGGCCAAAACCCGACCCCTCAAGGAACAAGCTCGAGCAGCTTGACTTCCGAGACAGGCGACAGCAAGAAGACAGACGACAGGATGGAAACGGATGAAGATACCACTCCTGAAGGAAACAACGATGGTTTCACCCTCGTGGAAAGAAAGAAGAGGAAAAACCCAGGAAACGAGTCGGACAGCGAAAGCGAAGATATACAGAACCGCAAAAGAACTGACACAAAAGTGGTTCCCGAAGAAAACTCCGAAAAAACAAAGGACACCAGCAAACCCAAACCACCACCAATAATTTTAGCAAGGGCAGGTAGATGGTTCCAGTTGAGACTGGGACTCAGAGATCGGGAGATCCGCTACTTGTCCACCGTTTATAGAAACGGTGAGCTAAAAATCTGGCCCGAAACAGAAGAAGACTACAGAAGAATGCAAAAGTACTTTATAGAAATGGAGGACAAATTCCACTGTTTCACTCTTAAAGAAGACAAACCATACAAGGCAGTCATCAGGGGTATCCCCGAGGATACTGACCTCAGCATAATAAAAGAAGAGTTGGTTGCCCAAGGACTAAACCCAATAAAAGTCCAACAGATGAGAGCCAGAAGAACAAAAAACTCACTACCACTATACTTAGTGGACATTAACATGGCGGAGAAAGAGGACATCTTGAAAGTAACGAGATGCGCAGGGATCGTGGTTAGGGTGGAAACACTCAGGGTCTCGAACTACGCAACTCAGTGTTACAAGTGCCAAGGCTTTCACCATGCGCAGAACAACTGCTACAAGGACGAAAGATGCGTGCGTTGTGGAGGACCCCACTGCGCATCCGAATGCACGAAAGTAATTAATAAGGATAAGCCAACCTGCGCAAATTGCGCCGGAGAACACCCGGCTAACTACAGAGGATGCCCGAGCATGCCCAAACCTAGGGCAAATCACCGAGCGCAACCCACAGCCTCAGCGCGACCTGCTCCAAGAACGGCCCCAAGACCAGCAAAAATAGTGGAAGGAAGGACATACTCCCAAACAACCACAAATACGACTCAGCAAACTATAAATCATGGAATGCAACAGCTTGCTTTTGACGCAGCCATCAAGCAAATACAGGATTCATTTGCCTAGTCTTTGCAAATGGTCATGAGGCAGTTCTCGCAACAACGCAATGAGTAACACACCCATTAAACCCCAACAACTTAAGATAGGCTCTTGGAACTACGGAGGGATCAAAACCCATATCAACACCATGGGGGAAATATTAGAGAGGAAGAACCTGGATGTAATGGCACTCCAGGAAACTAAGGTTACCGAACCTCGGAACATTAAGTGGCCTGGCTACTACACCTACAGGAACGACTTCACTAATATGTCAGGAGGAACTGCCATCCTTATCAAAAAGGAGATAGACCACTATCGGATTCCAACGCCGGATAATTTGAGGTCCATGGAAGCCACCTCGATAATCATTAGAACCTCTCACGGGGATCTAAGAGTATCGTCGGCCTACGTAAGACCACAATCTATCCTGCACCAAGAAGACCTAGAAGCTATCCTTCCACCAGACGTGGAAGGAATCATTATCGGAGACCTAAATGCGAAATCACCGGACTGGAACAGCACAGTGCACAACCCCAAAGGACAGGTGCTGGAAAACTTCCTGGACGACAACCCTGGTTGTGCGGCGATCGGACCTCTAGAACCCACCCACCATCCTGGCAGAGGAGTCCCAGATGTAATAGACATTGCAGTTATCAGAGACTGCACATTTCCACTAGAAATGTTCACTCTGCACGAAGGAGTCGGAGTACACAAGCCTACCCTCCTTGTCCTAGGACAAGGAGAAAGGTTAGACACTCCGAAAGAAATGTCGAAGACGGATTGGATAAAATTTAAAAGGATAGTGGGAGGAAACCTGGGAAACATCCCCAGAATAGAGGTCCCAGCAGACGTCGACCAGGCTCTTGAAAACCTAGAGCAAGTCATCCAGCGGTCACTCGCAGTCAGTTCGACCACAGTGATAGTAGCAAAACCACATAAATTCAAGAACTTGAGTCAAGACCTGAAAGACCTAATTTCAGCCAGGAAGAGAGCAAGGAAAATCGCATTTCGCACGAGAGACCCAGCAGACAGACGCCATGCCAACGTTTTAGGACGTCGCATCAGCGAGGAACTGAAACTGCATGCCGACAGAAGCTGGGAAGATTTTCTCGGAGAGCTTGATCCCCAAAGGCCTGGATTATGGAAACTTCAAAAAATCCTAAGAGACGAAAGAACACCAGTACCAACACTGCACGGAGTAAATGGACTGATAAGCACAACAAAAGAGAAAGCCGAAGCCTTCGCCACTTCTCTAGAATCTCAGTGTTCTAACAACGAACACGAAGACGAAGATCTGGACTTCACAGAAGAAGTGAAAGAGGACTTCGAGACTGAACAAGAATTAGGATACGTTGAGCCCACATCTCCGGACGAGGTGAGGGGCATTATCAAGTACCTAACTGCCAAGAAAGCCCCCGGCAGGGACAAAATCTCAAACCGAGCGATTAAACACTTCCCGCTGAAAGCCACAGTATACCTCACGGCCATCATCAACGGGATTTTAAGAACTCAGTACTTCCCTAGACTGTGGAAACAAGCGGAAGTGATTATGATACGGAAACCGAACAAGGACCCCAAATTTCCACAAAATTACAGGCCCATTAGCTTGCTCCCAGCTATGAGTAAAATTGCGGAAAGAGTCATCCTCAGAAGACTTCGAGAACAAACAAGGGATCTGAACATCATCCCCGACGAGCAATTCGGATTCAGAGAGGAACACTCGACCGAACTGCAAGTCTTAAGACTCGTCGAAGGAATCACTAGAGGATTCAATAGAAATCAGTCGACAGGCACCATATTCCTAGATGTCGCCAAGGCATTTGACAGGGTATGGCACGCTGGGCTGATCTTCAAAATGAAAGATCAAGGGTTCACAGTAGGAATGACAGGGCTGCTCAGGTCGTACCTCGGCGGAAGGCAGTTCCGGATAAAGACGGGACAAGTCCTATCAAGACCCGGAACCCCAGAAGCCGGAGTGCCTCAGGGGGCGGTACTGTCACCTCTGCTGTACACCATATACACCGCAGATATCCCTAAAACCCAACACACTACCATGTCCCTATACGCGGACGACACAGCGATATCGGCCACGAGCACACAGCCAGGACTCATATCAAGATACCTACAAGACGCAGCGGAAGACATAGAAGAATGGTGCATTAGATGGAAGATAAAAATCAACGCGGAGAAGACACAGGCTGTGCTGTTCAAGAAGAGACACCACCCTCCCGGAGAAGAAATAACGATGAATGGACAGGACATCCCATGGACCGACTCAGCCAGGTACCTAGGAGTAATCATGGACAAAGGACTTACCTTCACGAAGCACGTGGACATGGTAGTCAAGAAAACAAAACAAGCAAGATCGAGACTGAACTGCTTAATAGGACGGAAAAGCAAGCTCCTACTACAGACCAAAATGAGGATCATTCAGGCTGTAATAATACCTATCCTCATGTACGCATCTACGGCATGGGGACACACCTGTAGAACAAACAGGAAAAGGATCCAAAGTCAGCAGAACATCAGTTTAAGATGGGCCTCAAATGCCTATAGATATACACGAAATGACGTCATCAGAAGGGACCTAGAATCCAAAAGGGTTCTAGACCTCATACATAAGAAGGCCACGGATACCTTCGAGAAATTACGCACACACCCAAATATCGAAATAAGAGAATTAACGGAATACGAGAGAGCGGATTACAGAAGACACGCCAGACCACGCAAAGTGCTGGACTACGGCGGCGAGTGACTGACCTTGGGTGCAAAATTCAAGAGTCTCATAGATTTAAGATTTTCTTTCAGCGTTCTCTTTCAGCATTTTCTTTCAGAATTCAGACAGAGCGCAACACGCGATTCAGACAAGGACTGAGCAACTAACGACTAACCACCTGGGGACGAAGGTCCCCCCAGTCGCCAAGTAGGAGTCTGGGGGAGCTTTCACAGGTGGTGACAATCACAGAAAAGCACACACATGACAAATAAACGGACGACAAAGCAGGGAAATGCCATCAGCAAACCCTGTCCAAATTTCAGATAATATGTCATCCTTCACAGCCCTTTTAGGAGGAATGGCATACTAATCAAAAGATGTAAATTGAGGCCACGTGAAACCAAGCAGTCACGTGGGGAGGTGGTCGTCAGGAAGATTCCGATCCAGTAGATCAGGATGGGAACCTTCCCGACTTGGGCTCAATTACTGTGTGTGTGTGTGTGTGTGTGTGTGTGTGTGTGTGTGTGTGTGTGTGTGTGTGTGTGTGTGTGTGTGTGTGTGTGTGTGTGTGTGTGTGTGTGTGTGTGTGTGTGTGTGTGTGTGTGTGTGTGTGTGTGTGTGTGTGTGTGTGTGTGTGTGTGTGTGTGTGTGTGTGTGTGTGTGTGTGTGTGTGTGTGTGTGTGTGTGTGTGTGTGTGTGTGTGTGTGTGTGTGTGTGTGTGTGTGTGTGTGTGTGTGTGTGTGTGTGTGTGTGTGTGTGTGTGTGTGTGTGTGTGTGTGTGTGTGTGTGTGTGTGTGTGTGTGTGTGTGTGTGTGTGTGTGTGTGTGTGTGTGTGTGTGTGTGTGTGTGTGTGTGTGTGTGTGTGTGTGTGTGTGTGTGTGTGTGTGTGTGTGTGTGTGTGTGTGTGTGTGTGTGTGTGTGTGTGTGTGTGTGTGTGTGTGTGTGTGTGTGTGTGTGTGTGTGTGTGTGTGTGTGTGTGTGTGTGTGTGTGTGTGTGTGTGTGTGTGTGTGTGTGTGTGTGTGTGTGTGTGTGTGTGTGTGTGTGTGTGTGTGTGTGTGTGTGTGTGTGTGTGTGTGTGTGTGTGTGTGTGTGTGTGTGTGTGTGTGTGTGTGTGTGTGTGTGTGTGTGTGTGTGTGTGTGTGTGTGTGTGTGTGTGTGTGTGTGTGTGTGTGTGTGTGTGTGTGTGTGTGTGTGTGTGTGTGTGTGTGTGTGTGTGTGTGTGTGTGTGTGTGTGTGTGTGTGTGTGTGTGTGTGTGTGTGTGTGTGTGTGTGTGTGTGTGTGTGTGTGTGTGTGTGTGTGTGTGTGTGTGTGTGTGTGTGTGTGTGTGTGTGTGTGTGTGTGTGTGTGTGTGTGTGTGTGTGTGTGTGTGTGTGTGTGTGTGTGTGTGTGTGTGTGTGTGTGTGTGTGTGTGTGTGTGTGTGTGTGTGTGTGTGTGTGTGTGTGTGTGTGTGTGTGTGTGTGTGTGTGTGTGTGTGTGTGTGTGTGTGTGTGTGTGTGTGTGTGTGTGTGTGTGTGTGTGTGTGTGTGTGTGTGTGTGTGTGTGTGTGTGTGTGTGTGTGTGTGTGTGTGTGTGTGTGTGTGTGTGTGTGTGTGTGTGTGTGTGTGTGTGTGTGTGTGTGTGTGTGTGTGTGTGTGTGTGTGTGTGTGTGTGTGTGTGTGTGTGTGTGTGTGTGTGTGTGTGTGTGTGTGTGTGTGTGTGTGTGTGTGTGTGTGTGTGTGTGTGTGTGTGTGTGTGTGTGTGTGTGTGTGTGTGTGTGTGTGTGTGTGTGTGTGTGTGTGTGCACACACACACACACACACAAGTTCACCGCAGCAGCCGCAACGACTAGACGTACTACGATCGCTCCCAGTATTTCAAAGCCAGTGTGACTCGAACGGCCTGTAATCTCTTCGGAAGGAGCAGCGTTCGCAGTGAAGATTGTGACCCCAGTGTTTATTAGAAGATTTTTAGGCAAATGCCGACAAATTTAATTCGAATAAGATTTGAAAAATATTAATTTTATATTTTTATGTTTTCAGACTTTTTTGCAATTTACTAATAAAAATTGGAGAGTTGTGAAAGATTATCTACCAATTTTTCTTTTTCAGCGATACTAATAAAAATTGGAGATTTGTGAAAGATTTTCTACCAATTTTTCTCTTTCAGTGTTACGACCATTAGGTATGGCCCCCACAGGGGCAAAACCTAAAAACTTGGACGGAAAGTATTGTGGAATTTCTGAAGGACACAAATAGGAAACTAGTGAAGCAGGTTGAAAACCTAAATAATCAAGTGGCAAACTTGACGTTACAAGTAGCTACTCTCCTGTCTCTCCTAGGAGACTACAAGAACAACAAAAACAAAGAGGAAAATCCAGCCGAGGACTTCATTACCGAGGCAATGGCCACAGACCTCCCAAATTCCGACGATGAATTTACGGAAGTAAAATCTCGAAACACCCGTAAACGGGGAAGAAAGACGACGGCAAGTGGCGCTGGAAATACCTCGTCAGAGGAAGATGACCCCGCAGGCAGCAACTTAACTCCCAGGACCGGATCAAAAAGTCGCAGATGCAAATCTCCGACTTTTTCACCGGCCAGGGATGAAAGTATTGTTGTGAAGGATACGGTCAGTCTGGGTGCGAGTAAGGGGTTCAATCTGCCGGTAAACGGTAGAGCCTCCGAGGCATTCAAACTCCCGCTATCTAACACAACAAAGCCGACGGCGAAGTCTCCGAGAGAGGATTTCCCACCGCTACCCACGCCGAAAAAACCGATTATGACACAAATACCAATTAGGACAACGGCACCGCCTACACAAGCACCTGGTGGTTCCAAATCAGTGGAGGCAAAAGCCAATGCGAACGCTACGGGAAGTGATGAACCCCGTAACCTCGCGGCCGAGCCGAAACAGATAAAGATCCCACCGGTGGTAGTGGAAAGCGGGGCCAAAGACTGGCCGAAGATTAGGCGCGGCCTAGTAGAAAGGGGTATCCCTTTTACTAAAGCCGCTACGCGAAATGAAGAATTAAAAATCTGGCCAGCAACCTCCGACGCATACAGGGCTTCAACGAAGTACCTAGATGAAATAAAAGCCAAATACCATACGTATCGGCTTGAGGATGAGAAATGCCATAAAGCGGTCCTCCGTGGACTCCCGAAGGAAACGGACATAAAATATATTATCGAGGATCTTGAAAACCAGGGCTTAAAACCTCTGAGAGTGCAGAGAATGACTGCAAGACGGGACAGGCAACCACTGCCCCTGTTCTTAATAGACGCTCCGCTCGACGAAAGAGCCGCGATAATGAAGGTAACACGATGCCTAGACCTAGTGGTCCGCATGGAACCACTACGTAACAACACCGCCACGACACAGTGCTACAGGTGTCAAGGTTTCCACCACACACAATCGGGATGTCATAGAGATATCAAATGCGTAATTTGCGGAGAAGAACACCGCGCAGAGCAATGTCCTAGACGGACAAACAAGGATGCCAAGGCCACTTGTGCCAATTGTAACGGAGAGCATCCCGCAAATTACCGCGGCTGCTCAAAATACCAACAAACGATAAATAGACTACCACAAAAACCACGTCAGAAACCGATCACAAAACCCGCCCACGTTACAGCGGGTATTTCATATGCAAATACCACAACACAGGCTATTCGACACGTAGTCGAACAAAAACAAAAAGAGAGATCTAACGACGACGCCCTCATCAAGGACTTGTTAGAACTCCTCATGCGACACCAAGGAACCCGTTAATGAATACACCACCTACAAGGCCAAATCAGCTGAAGATCCTATCGTGGAACTCAGGAGGAATCCGGATAAATAAGAACCTTCTATTCGAATTAATCGACAGAGAGGACCTCGACGTTATAGCGCTACAGGAAACAAAGTTAACCGAGCGGCAAAACTTTAGTTATCCTGGCTATGACGTGTATAGGACCGATCTTAGAGCAAATTCAGGAGGCACTGCGATTCTTATTAAGCGGGAGATAGATCACTATCACACTCCCACGCCCGGAGGACTCCGGACAATGGAGGCTACTACGATCACTGTTAGAATTAAAATTATAGAGATCGACCGTCGTTACGAGCAGTTGGATAAAGGAGTAGGCAGTTTGAGACCTTTAACCCAACCGTTCAAGACAATTGTTTTTAGTGCCGGGGATGGTATTTCATACCGGAACCGCCTAACTACATTGTAGTTTCGCGATCGTGTTTTTACAATTCTAGTGATTAATCCAAGTGCGGATGTTTTATTTTTAAAATAGAGTGACGCGTTTTATACCCGAGTGACAAAAGTGTGATAATAATAAGAAAATTACCGGAGATAGACACTATGTGCATCGAATAAAATTCAAAGTGAGTGAAATACAGAAAATCGTGCCACTGGATGAATTAGTCAAATTGGAAAAACGAAGAATTAACCATAAGTTATTGTTTTTGTATAAACTGCTAAATAATAAAATAAACTGTGAATTTTTACTATCTGAAATTAAATTTTATATCCCAGGTCATGTCGTTCGGCCTAAAAACAAACTTTTCTTTATGCCAAAACACATGCTGCTATTGGATAATATCTGCTGCATATATAATAACCACAATACATCTTTAAATCTGGATATATTTAATACATCACTTAAAACTTTCAAATCCCACCTGTTAAAATCAGAATTTGCATAGAGATTTAAATATTATATATATATAAAAAAAGATTCATTGTGAAACATGCTTACCTAATTTATATTGATTATTTTAAGATTTTCCAGATTTTGATTAATTCAATGAATATTTTTTATTTTAACAATCTTATTTATATACTATTTTTAATTCTAATGGAGCATTGGTAGATGCAAGTAGTTATAAGTTTCGTAAATTATTTTTGTTTTTGTACTTATACTCGTATATATTTTTTATTTCTTTCTTCTTTTATATTAACTTTATTGGGAGCATTGGTAAATGTATTTAGTTGTAGTTTCATTTTTCTTAGGAGAACATGTAATGAGGTTATAAAACCTGTTTGTTTTCTGTTAAATAAATAAATAAATAAATAAACGACACCTCAAGGAAGGGTAAGTAATTTTTAATTACTGTGTACGATTTTTATCGCCCCCGAATGACCACATTTTATTTTATATTTTAATACTATATACGATAAATCACTTTTAAATCACGGATACAAAGGGTGAGACAATGCCGCATCACGGACCGTCGAAACCCTTACTGTCGACGACTTTCAGGAAGGACCACCTGGGAGTCGTCAACCAACTAAAAATTGATAAGTCAAAAAAAAAAATTAAAGACACCATGGATCTGCTGAGAAACAGCGAGGACGCAAGGGCAAGGGCCCTGAAAGATAAGGCAAAAGCGGAGGCCGAATCTGAAAAACAAAAAAATGAAATTAATAGACTAACATAATTGAACAATTGAACGAAACCCTAAAAAAAATGAACGAACAAGCGGAAAGACAAGAATTAAAATACGACGCGCTCTTAAAGCAACTAATGATAAATAAAACAGAAATAAATAATGAAAAAAATTCAGTAAACAAAGCTAAAGACTCAAACATCATAACTAATAATAATAACACAAATAAAGAAACAAACAAAGACAAAACCAACACTGACACACAAACTAGAGACCCTAGAATTAAAAGTAATATTCCGATTGCCGTAAATAAAACAAATGAAGACAAAAACGCGAACGACAGTAAAATTAACACACAAATAAGCGACGCACCTGGCCCCTCAGGCATGCAAGAGACCGACACAGTAGCCTGCCCCTCAGGCAATAACAACACAGAAATGGACGTAGACTCAGACAACGAGTCAAGCTCTTCAAGCGATGAAGAAGGATTTAGAAGCGGTAAAACCCGCCGACAAAGACGCAACGCGGCAAAACGCCGTAAAGAGGATACCCCCCTCGAAAATAATCGGACTAGCGATAATAATAAAATCGAAGCGACGGTAAACACAACAAATAAAAACAATAATAATAACGAAAATAAAAATACCGACATAAATAAAAATAAAGAAAACAAAAATCCAAAGGTGGCGTCTATTCTGTTAGACTCAGCCACAAACTGGATAAAAATAAAACGCGAATTTGAAACTAACCAAATAAATTACGAAACCGCGATAGTAAAGGCAACGGTACGCGTGTGTGGCCCAAAACCACAGACGACTACCGGAAGATGACTCTATACCTGGAGAAGTCAGGAGTTAAGTTCTACTGCCACCAGCTGGCAGAAGATAAATCCTACAAGGCAGTCCTAAGGGGAATACCGACTAATATGTCGACCCAGGACGTGCTAAGCGACCTGACTGAGCAGGGACTGCATCCTATTAAGGTGCAGCAAATGACTTCAAGGGTAGATAAAAGGGCTCTACCCTTATTTTTGATTGATGTACCCCAAGCGGAAAAAGATGATATGCTATCAGTCAACCGGTGTGTTGGTCTGGTAGTAAAAGTTGAGGCCCAAAGTCCCCAAATGGAGCGACACAATGTTATCGCTGTCAAGGATATCATCACGCGCAATCTTTCTGCCACATGGACGAGAGATGCGTGAGATGTGGTGGCAACCACAGAGCGGCGCTGTGCAAAAGGCCAAAAAATGAGAAAGCCACTTGCGCAAATTGTAAGGGGGACCATCCTGCGAGCTATAGAGGATCCCCGAAAATGGGAGTCAGTAGGCCCCCTAAGACTGTACAACCCCGAACATTCAATTCGAAACAAATTACTACCGGTGTTAGCTACTCGCAGCAAACAGCCGGAAACGCGACGCAAACAATAAATAATAATATAGAACTGGTCGCCCAAATGCAAAGACAACTGCAGACACAGATGCAGATAATGTTTAACAACTTCGCGCAAAGTATGATGAAAACATTTCAAACGACGACACCCGCAGCAAATGTATAATACACCTATACAACCTGCTAGTTTGAGGATTGGGTCCTGGAATCCAGGTGGAATCAGACCCAATATAAATTTCCTAGGTGAACTTATGGAAAGGGAGAACCTGGACATAGTTGCAATACAGGAAACAAAAATTACGGATACATATAAACTGCGCTGGCCTGGTTATAATGTATACAGGAACGACCATCAAGCAATGTCTGGTGGCACTGCGATACTAATCAAACAGGAAATAGAGAGCATCACTCTATTCCAACCCCTGCTGCATTACAAACAATGGAAGCTACAACTATTAAAGTTAGAACATTGCACGTTCTAAGAATAGTTTCAGCCTACGTTCGACCTAATGCAGTCCTGCACGGGGGTGACATAGACGCAGTCCTGCCTCAGGGGGAGGCAGGGATAATTATCGGCGATCTAAACGCTAAATCCCCAATTTGGAACAGTAGATTTCGCAACACTAGAGGCAGAGTGTTGGAAACAATCATGACAAACGACCCTAGATGCTCGGTACTAGGTCCCGATGAACCTACCCACTACCCTGGTAACGGAGGGCTACCAGACGTCATCGACATTGCCGTGCTAAGAAAGTGTGATTTTCAACAGGAAATTTACTCTCTGCATGAAGGAGCAGGTAGACATAACCCGATCCTACTAATACTAGGAGACGGAAATGGCATCAACGCGCCAAGAACAGTGTCAAAAACAGATTGGACAAAATTCAAACGAATTTTGGCAGGCAATCTAGGACCAATCCCAAGGATTGAGTCCTGCGAGGAAGTAGACGAAACACTCGGGCATCTAGAAACAGTCACGCAACAAGCATTGGCTGACAGCACAAGACAAATAGAGGTAGCAAGACCTAGTCAATTTAGAAACATCAGTCAGGAACTGAAAGATCTAATAGTGCTGAAAAGACGCGCTCGAAAGAGAGCACACAGGACAAGGTTGGCTGCAGACAAACGAGAGGCAAACAGACTTAAAGAACAGGTAAAACTGGAACTTCTACTACACAAAGACGAACAATGGAAAAATTTCCCCCCAGAAATCACCCTTTTGGAAACTCCAAAAAGTACTCAGGACAGGCAGACCAAAAATGCCATCAATACACGGACAAAATGGACTTGCACACACGGACATAGACAAAACAGAGGCGTTTATAGCAACGCTCGAATTGGAGTGCACCGAAAACCAACACGAAGACGAAGATATGGAATTTACGGAGGAAGTAGAGGAATCTATGGAATCTGAAGATGAAGTATTAGACAATATCACTGTAACATCAGCACAGGATGTCAAGGACATACTCAAGTTTGCTGTAGCCAAAAAAGCGCCAGGGTGTGACGGGATTTCAAACCGTGCACTAAAAAATTTTCCAAACAAAGCCATCGTTTTTTTAACCAATATAATCAACGCAATTTTAAGACTTCACTACTTCCCTACCAACTGGAAAAAAGCGGACGTTATAATGATTAAAAAACCGGGCAAAGATCCAAAATTCCCACAGAATTACAGGCCTATTAGCTTATTACCTGCAATGAGCAAAATAGCAGAAAGAATAATATTAAAACGACTCAAAGAAGAAACAGAAATATTAAATGTTATCCCCGACGAACAATTCGGCTTCAGAGAAAGACACTCCACGGAATTACAGGTGTTAAGGTTAGTAGAGGGAATCACGCAGAGATTCAATACTAACAGGTCAACTGGAGTGGTCTTTTTAGACGTCAGTAAGGCTTTTGACAGAGTCTGGCACGCAGGACTAATCTACAAACTTAAAGACTACGGGTACACAGGGGCAATGACAAAACTCCTCAAGTCGTACTTAGGCGGAAGGCAGTTCCGTGTCAAGATAGGTTCCGCCCTGTCTAGATACGCAACTCCGGAAGCTGGAGTGCCGCAGGGGGCTGTTCTGTCACCGCTTCTGTATACAATCTACACAGCAGATATACCACAGACAAACAACACCACGACATCAATGTACGCCGACGACACAGCGATCGCTGCCAGAAGTACCAACACAGGTATGATATGCCGATACCTGCAAGAAGCAGCCACCGAAATCGAAGACTGGAGCATCAAATGGAAAGTGAAGATAAACCCTGACAAGAGTCAGGCAGTATTATTTAAGATACCCCAACAGCGGTAATAGAAATGGACGGACAAAACATACCATGGACAAACACTGCGAGATACCTCGGAGAGCAACTAGACCAAGGATTAACATTCAAACAACACACAACAAACATAAGGACAAAAGCAACCGCGATTAGAAGTAACCTCTACAGCGTCATAGGACGACGCAGTAAATTACTATTGAAGACCAAACTAAGAGTGATAAGATCCATCATCACACCTGTATTGACATACGCTTCTGTAGCATGGGGACACACGTGCAGAACAAACAGGAAGAAAATACAAGCACAACAAAATATGAGTCTCAGAGTGGCTGCGAACGCACCTTGGTACGTCCGTAACCGCTACCTGTTCAGAGATCTAGAAACCACCCCGGTTTTAGAGATCATGAACAGCAGAGCAGAACACATTTTCAGAGACTTACAAGAACACCCTAATCGCGAGTTGAGAGAACTGACAAACTACGAAAGAGAAGACTACAGGAGACATGCGCGACCCAGAAAACAACTGGAGTACGCAAACGACGACAACTAAGAGTAATTCTGTGGGAAAGCGCTAGATTTTAACTAAGTAGGCCAAACAAAAAAACAAAAAATCCATTTCACCACCATCATCATCACCTTCACCCCTCACAAAAAAAAAAAAAAAATTATATAATAGTTTTTAAGTTCGGTCATTCGGAGAAAATCGTACTCAGAACCATATAAGGTGTATTTATGTGAGTTTTAGGTACCATCAGATTACAAAGCGACGACTTCCTCCTCCTGCAAGTTTCTCCCCTTTGAAAGTTCCAGCACTGGGATTCGGAAAAGGGTAGTATCTTAGCGGGAATAAAACGCGAAACACTTGACGGCACAACAGACGACAACGACGCACTATGTTGGCTCAACAGGTCACCACCAGAGGGGTCCTGATGAGCACTCATAGCGCAGCGAGCAACAGCGCACACAAATCGCGAATGTATGAAAGAGAGAGTGAACGCATAATAGTTTTAGGTCCTCAACCGACTCTTACTAAATGACGATAACGCCTCAACCTTCAACGCTCAATCGAAGGTATGGGGTGCCAATCAATTGCTATTGACATGTGGACCAAGCAGCGGATGAAAAAGATTGGGGGTGGATGGAAGGGTTTAGTAGGTTTCGATCCAGGTTACCAGGATGGGAACTTATTCGACTCGGGCCAGTAATCTAGTGCGTGCGTGCACGACACACACACACAAGTTCACCGCAGCAGCCGCAACGACTAGACGTACTACGATCGCTCCCAGTATTTCAAAGCCAGTGTGACTCGAACGGCCTGTAATCTCTTCGGAAGGAGCAGCGTTCGCAATGAAGATTGTGACCCCAGTGTTTATTAGAAGA